TTCAACGAGAGGCACACGACCTTCATGATGTTGTGGCATTGAGCTAGCCCACACCTCAGTACCACCTGCAGGTGAGGAGCAAGTGGTTGAACTCAACCTTCGTTCGGCTCTTAGGCGAGGAGGATATCGGGTTTGGTGTTGTGGAGCGGGGAGGAATGGCCAAGGGCGGGCAGGGACTTCTTCAGGTGCGAGTAGCGCTCCTTGAGCGTGTAGGCAGCGGCCTTGGGCTCTCTCTGTCTGGTGAGCACTCCCTTCAGGTTGGTGGCTCCCACTCGGGTTGCTGGGTGGTGTCACGAAGTGGTTGTCAGACAACGTCACAGGCCAAGGCCGGACCGAGGTGAGCTGCTCACGGAGGGAAGTGAGTGGGATGCATAGGCGGCATACGTGACTGGCCGGTCCGGAAATCGGCAAAGTTCCACACGAGCTCGCCGATGAGGAACTTGCCGATGTACCGGTCAAACACCTGATGGTACTGCTTGAGGAACTCCACCTGGAAGTCCTCCGTGAACTGGCACGCACGAGAGAGAGGAGAAAGCGAGTGTGAGACGCGCAGATTGCAGCATTCTACGGCTCGAGCTGCGCGTGATCTGTACCATGAAGGCGGGGTCGTGGTGCAGGCCAGGCACGGTGTCAGCTCCGTACTCGCTGACGATGATCGGCTTTTGGTACTTGGCCCAGAAGCCCTGAAGATCGGTGTCAAGCTGGTAGGGGATCACCTCCAGCTGCCCCGAGTCCGAGTACCACGCGTAGTACCTGTGGATCCAGAGGAAACGAATCATCAGCGACGGAGGAACCGGGTGGTAGACATCATCATCGGCGGTGACCTCCAGGGTGTAGAGGTACGGCTTGCCGGGCTGCCACAGGGTGAGAGCGTCTGCACATGGGCGTTCAATCATGGCGATCAATCACAAGCACAAAAGGGGTTTGATGAGCGGACAATGGACCACGCACCCCTTTCCACGACGAGGCTCCCGTTGAGCTGAGCGCTCTGCGCCACAACGACACCGTTGCCGTTGATCAGCCTCACCTGCGTCGCTGCTGGGGTCGCAGGACGAGACTCGGGGATCAGGTTGCCCTCTTCGCCCTGAGTTGGCGAGGTCTTGGCCACAGCGATCTCGTAGTTGACGCTCGCGTCGCCGTTCGGCTGATTTGTAGAGGGGGGAGAGAAGTGAGCGCCCAAACAACAGCTTTTGGAAGTGACCGTCGCGACTGCTACCTGAATGTCGTAGGTGAGGGTGATGTCGTCGATCCACTGGCTGGGCGTGGTGTACAGATACACCTCGCGATCGATGCCGGCGTAGTTGACTGCATCATCGCGACAAAGAAGGTTCAATGAACATCAGTCGCCGTTCGCTCCACGCTTCAGTGAACGACAAAACGGAGTGCGGGACGCGTGCGTACAGAAGTCGAAGTGGGTTTCCTGCACGGTGTATCCCTTGGGGTAGCGCGGACCGTGCTCGACCCGCACGTTGCCGGGAGGAAGGGTGAAGGGCGTGAGGGTGTTGTTCACCGCCACGGTCAGGCGGCTGCGCGCGGTTCCCTTCACGAGCTGGGTAATGTCCGCCTCAAACGGCAGATGGCCGCCGGCGTGGCTGACGACCTAGGTCGTGGAGAAGTGAGCACGGGCTCAGACCGGTGCGATTGTTCCAGTGTGCGGGGGGGTGGACGTACAGCAGTGCCGTCGACCCACACGGACGCCGCGTAGCTCACGCTCTCGAAGCGCAGCACGATGCGCTGGCCAGTGCTGACCCAGGTGTGAGGCACGAAGAAATCGCGCTCGTACCAAACCCACCCGATGTGCCTGCGCAGCTCGTTGTCTGTGGTCGGAGGTGTGAGCGCCGAAACCTTTGTTTGTTGGCTTCCTTGCCACGCCATTGTGGTGGTGGTGGTGTATGTGCACCTTGGGTGATGTCGTTGTAGGAGGCGGGGACGGGCATGTGCAACAGGGGAGCCGCCAGTGGCCTCAACCACCACCGCTCCGCCACGCCCACATTGTGTTTGTCTTCCTGTATTGGGGGGGGGCAAACGTTAAAAAAAGCGAAGCAAAAGAAAGCGAAGCCGCACAGGTCGACCACACCTTGAAGCGCCAGATGCCGCTCAAGTCCTTTACGCTGCGCGCTGGGTTGTCCTGCACCTGCAGCATGCCAGCTCCGTACGCGCCGGTCGCCACAAGAAGCAGCACCTGTACCAGTTGCCCACCCCCCGGGGGTGCGCTTAGTTACCCTCACAAAAAGAAAGATAGGGAGGGCCTGCTGCGCACCAGTGCTGCCGCTACGGCAGCGTGCACCTTCATGTCAAGACGTGTGATTACAACTGCAGAAGCCCGACCTCGTTGCTTCTCTTTTGCGTGTCTCTTGTCGGGCCTCGGAAACGGCCAGCCAATGGTGGCAAAGCACTAGTGAAGTGGCCCTCTTCGTCAAAGTAGTACTTTGTCATCACCCGGGTTTTATTGGGTCACTACCCGATGAGCCACATCTTGAGCGAGTCGTCGAGCGATCCGCTGGCGAAGGCGTTCTCGTGCACGTCCATGTTGATGATGTCTCGCGTGTGCGCCTGTATCGTGTACAGGGGCGCATCGCTCGTGCCTCGATAGTCCCACACCTGCAGAGAAAGTGGAGAATCAGACACAGTGGTCCGTGATGCGCGAGAGCGCGTCGTCCACGTCATCAGGATCACATGCACACGAGCGGAAGCGGGCGGCCTACCCGAATTGTGCCATCGCCACCGCCCGAGACTATTTTGTAGTCATCCACGTACACATACTTGACGTAGCCCTGATGCCCTTTCAGTGTCCGCCTGGCAGAGCATGTTCGAGAAGCGAGTGAGCCGAGCCACCCACGCAGAGAGAAAGGCGACGAAGACGAACCTGGGCTGACCGGTATTCCAGTCCCATATCTTCACCATAAAGTCGCTATCGCCGGACACGATGGCATCTCTATCGAAGACGAGGCATCGCACTTCGCTGCGTCGGTTCTCTTTGTCGAGGTTGTGTAGAGTAAACAAGCGCGATTCCTGCTCCACGATACATGCGCAATCGTTAGAAGCGCGAGAAGGCACTGGGTGCACGTGCACGGTACCGTGTCGGCGTCCCACATGCAAATGGTGCCGTCCAGCGAACCGGACACGATCGTGTTGTCCGCAAACTGGAGGCCCATTACGCCATCGGTGTGGCCAATCAGGGTGGAGGTCGGCTCGCTCGTGTCGGACCATCGCCACAGCTTGACTGACTTGTCTCCCGAGCACGAAACCAGCACCTCGTCGTCGTACTGTTACCACAGAAACAAGTTGTCATTCGGGTGCACGATGCACGACGTAGGCAATGCCGAGTGGCACTGAAGGAGATAAAACCTGCAGTCGCTTCACCCAGCCCGTGTGGCCTTTGAGCTTCTTGGTGCACACACCCGCCCAATTCCACACCCTTATGTGCATGTCCCCCGAGCAACTGACAATCTGCACAAAGTGAAGACGCACACATCATTGTAGTCGAGGGGTAAGCAAAGCGGATGAAAGGACTTGGGGGGGGGGTCGGTGTGCGCGTACCTTTTCGTCGTCGTACTGAACGGCTCCCACCCAGTCGCGGTGGCCCGAGAGGGTGAGGGTGAGCTTTGACGTCTTGCGGTCGTATACACGGATGTGCGAGTCCTGCATGCCGCACACCACCTTCTCCTCGTCGAACTTCACCGCGTACACGGAGCTGGACGTGGTCACCGTGTCCTGCGGCGTGTAGCTGCCCGTCATCCAGCTGCGCTTCGTCAGGCAGCCCTTTTTGAACATCTCTCGCCAGTCTCTCCCCACGCTTCCTGCAACAAACGTGGGAGTGAGGTCTGCCTCGAACGCAAATCTAAAGTGGATGGGGAGCTGTACCTGCGGAGGAGCGTATTGAAGTAGCGGCAAGAGAAGATGAGGAGGAAGAGTGTAGACGAAAGCTCTTGCGCTCCCGCACTCTGTGCAGCTCGCGCATGTAGAGGGAACGCCAGAGCGTAGAATCGAGTGCCAATTTGTGCCAATGCCTGCTGACGAAGCCAACGATGCACACCTCTCGCGGACCCAGGTAGGACAGCACATGCAGCGCGATCTCGTTGGGCAAGTCGTCCACCATCAGCCCTTCACAGCTGCCCTCCTCAGCCGCGTAGCAGCACTCGTCCCGCCGCCGCAGCGTGGAGCCATCCACAGAGCGCCAGCCCTCCATCTTGCTGTCGTTTGGCTATTAAATAAAAAAGAAAAACAGAAATGATGTATTTTCTTATTTCTGCAGCAAAGGATGACGACTTTCTTCTCGGCCAGCCAAGATGCGCCCGATTTCACCAACAACGTGCTCGTTCTGGTGCGCTACTACCTTGCACCCTCATCGTCTCCTTACCGTTCGATCCAGCGACTTTTCAATCTTTTAAATGAGATTTATATCTTCATCTTGTGGCCAATTCTAACTGTGCGTTGCTACGCTGACGCTGACGATCACCACCAACAGCCGACCCTGTCGGTGGGGAAAGTGGGCGGCCTGACGGTCGATCTGCTGGCCGCCACCTATGGGCTCCCGCGCGTGGGCTGGCTCGAGGACGAGAACGTGCTGCCCGTGGCCAGCAACGACACCCTCACGCTCCTTCCGCGACCCGACGGCGCCCTCTCCACCAACCTCGAAGGTGCGTGTGCGCGTGTGCGCGTGTGCGCGTGTGCTATGAACGAATGAGTGCGCTGACCGCTGCGTTGTGCAGTGTTCCAAGACGTGGCGAACAAAGTGACCTACGTCCAGCAGCGCGCCCCTGTGATCCGAGTACGTCATGCGCCTCATCTCGTGCTCGCTAGCAACCGCATGATCACTCATCATCTATGTGGGGCCCAATCTGCCTCTTCAGAACCGAAACGCGGCGTTTGTACAGAACCTGTTCCAGTGGATCAAGGAGGCCAGGGTACGCGCAAGTCTCTTTTACATCGAGAGTGGCGAGACTCCTCCATCTGACAGCGCTGTGCAATCATCAGTTCAGGGAAGTGGTGCTGCTCAGCAGCGTGGATTCGGCTCGTCGCATCGCCGAGGCGCAATTCTAGTATACCTTCTGCCCCCCACCCCTCTCGCTCACACATCCGCTCTCCCCGCGCCTTTCCGCCGCAAAGACTGACAAACTGCGCCACGAACCACAAACAGCGACCGGCACGCCATCACCTGCCGATATGTGGTGGGCGGCGGCGCCGAGCCCAAGAGCAGCCGATTCAAGTGGCCGCTGCTGGAGGAGGGCAGCTTCGATTCGGCCTTCAAGAACACGAGCTTCACCCACCTTGCGTTCGACGCTTGCAAGGTATGATCAAGATGATGATGATGCTACATTCTCCTCTTCTCCGCGCGCTCGCCACTCCGCGCTCTACATGTGACACGTTAATAATAATGAAATTTCCAGAGGGACGGGCTGGCCGCGACGATCTTGACTATCTTCTGCGCCGACGGCGTCAACATCCCTCACGCCTTCGCCATGGCCGACGCCGCGTTCCACTACCTCGACCTGAGCCACCCCCAGACCGCCGCAGCTCCAGCATCGGGTACGGCACCATCGGCTCTTCCGCGCTCTTTGGGTCACATCCCGCAAACCAACACTCGCTCAACAGAGGACGAGAAGGCGAAGCCGCCGCGCTGGCGTCCGCCCACGTCGTGGCACCATCTGTTCGAAATGGCCTCCTCCTTCGATGCCACCCTCTTTGGTTGATCACGGCCGTGTGTATGCAACCAACCCAACCCAACCAACTCCAAACACCAACACTATGCATCGTCTTCGTTTTCGCTCTTTTTGATGCTACGTGCCCGATTGTAAGACGAGAAGAGAGAAGAGGCGGAGAAGGAAAGAGGCAGAGGGGGGGGGGCATGTGGGCGCCTAGGCGAGGGTGGTGATCGGTACAGCGGCGAGGGGCACGAGAGGCGGGGGCGAGAGGAAGTAGACGTCGATGTCGTCGGCCGAGAAGTCCTCGTCTAGGTCCTCCCGCGACACCGTCTCCACCCCAAAGTTCTTCTCCTTCATCGCCTGCCAGAACAGATCCTCTGCGCCGCCACATCCGAACAAAGTGAGTACACCATGGTGGCGATGGCCACGGCCGTCGCAAGTGTCGTGTGTCGTGTGTCGTGTGTGTGTCGTGTGTTGTGCACATGGGCATGTACCGTGCTTGTGGTTCCTGTGTTCGATGGAGATGAGGATCTTGGTCTCGGGCTTGGCGAGAAGGACCAGGCTGTCGACGAGGAGGTCGTAGGGCGCGTTGTTGAACACGCAATCGCTCACCACAATCCATGAAATGGTGTCCTGCCCGCCCACCGCCACCATCGTCAGCTCACCACCTCACGAAAAGTGCGAGTGAGAAGGCGATGTGAAGAGCCTACCGCCTCGAGCTGCTCGTTTCGGTCGCCCCAGTTCAGCTCGACCACCTCCACGTCAGCCACCCGCGGGTTGTTGGCTGCGAACCGCACGCCACAACACACGCCGCACGCCACAACACAACACGTTGGCCGACGGTTGTGGCTGTGGAGATGTGGGTAGTACGTACTTCCATTGTGCTCCAGGTTCTGGTGGATGAGCGGAAGAAGAGGCGCCTGCTCTGTCACCACCACCTTGGCTTGGTCTACAAGAAGAAGAGGAGGAAGAGGAAGAAGAGGAAGAAGATGATGACTACTGCGTTAGCGTGGTGAGCTGATTGGAGGAGATGACTCAGGAGGGCCACGCCATGGAGGGGAGAGGCACCGAAAAAGAGAGCGCAGACCATGCCGAGGAGGCCGTTGCCGCTGCCCAACTCCACGATCGACGCCGGTGGCGGCTGGAAGGACTTCAGGTTCTTCTCCAGGTACCTGTCGTGGTGCCACAATAATTATTATATAAAATACATAATAAGTATAAATAAATGAATTGTACAAATAAATGAATAGTTTTGCTTGTAATCGAATAAATAAAATAACAAATCCGTGGAATAAAAGGAGTGTACTTGGAGAGGACGACGGCGCAGTCCCAGACGATGGCGCCGGTGCCGAGGCCGGAAGTCTCGCCGCCAGTAATCTGGATAGCCTCGAGTTGATGCCCACCGACGTCGAGAGCGAATGCCCGGTCGGCTCCACGCGCTCGTCGCCACTGCAGCTGCCTCTGGATGCGCCTGGCCCGTTCCGAGACACCTCCTCTGCCGTTCTTTTCTTGCGGTTGTTGTTGCTGATGTTGTTCTTGGTCTGCCATCCTTTGTTGTTGTTTGCTTGCTGGCTCGTTACAGCCAAATACTAAGTTATTGCAACCACACCCCTTGCGCTGTCGACAGAGAAAAGGCCGAAGTGAAGGTGTCTCGACGGCGAGTAAGACTGTGTTTCGTGTTGTGATCTTCTTTTTATACAGTATACAAATGCTTCCTCCTCTCTCTCTCCTTCTCGCGTCCCCTCAACCCACGGATCGCAAGCGCTCTGTCGGCCACTCGAGCGAATGATCAGAAGTATCAACGATTTGGCCTCCTTGTCTCCACCTCCCTCCTCCCTCCGTGCTTCCATCGCCCACTCCGCTCTCTCCCTCCTTCTGCCCTCGCTACCTTCTGAACAGATACGTACGGAGCTGCCAGCCAAGTAGTGCTTGCTTGGTTACGCCCACCACCTTCTACTCCAACAGCTCGTTGTTCTTGGCCGCGGCCTTCTTCGCGCCCTCGATCACCTGCACGAGCCCGTTGCCGCCTGTCGACGTCTTCATGAACGGATGCTGCGAGAAGCCCAGAAAAGAAGGCGATGAGTGATCAGCACCAGACGCGGCCTTCGTCAGGTGCGAGTGGGCAGAGGGAGAGGGGGGGGGTACCTTCAAAAGCTCGTTCGCGTCGGGCCTCGCGCTTGGGTCCTTCTCGAGGGTGAGGGAAACGAAGTTCTGGAAGTGCTGCGACCACTTCGAGGGCTCCTTGAGGTCGGGGATACCCTTCGTTGTGATCAAGAACAGGGCCTGGGTGGTGATGAAAGAGTGGTGAGCGAGTTGAACTTCAAGGAGACAGATAGCAGCGAATAAAATAAAAGAGGCGCGAGCAAGTACCCGGAGAGGCGGGAACTCCATGTACGGCGGCTCGCCCTCGGCCATCTCCATGATCATGATGCCCAGCGACCAGATGTCGACCTTGGTGTCGTACTCCTGACCGCGGATAAGCTCCGGCGCCATCCAGTACGGCGTGCCCACAATCGTTTGGCGCTTGTTCTTCTGCTGGGTGAGCTGGGCCGCATAACCAAAATCGGCTGCGCGTGCGAAGGGAGAAGGGCAGTGAGTAATAAATAACGGGAGAGGGTGAGAGCTAATGACGCTCGAACGCATGGTGAGGCGTGCGTACCAATCTTGACTTCTCCCCTGGAGCCCAACAAAATGTTGTCGCTCTTAATATCTCTGTGAATTCTGTGCAGGCTGTGAATGTAGGCGAGACCCTTGAGAGTCTGCACGAGAGAACGAACGAAAGAAAAGAGGAAAGAGAGGAACGTTGAGTATTCGAGTGTTGGCACCGGCCGTGCGCAGCCAGCTGAGCGAACAATAGGAATGCAGGGGAAAGGCAATGGCAGCGCACCTCCTGGCAGACCCAAGCAATATTGCCCTCGGTCATCTGGACATCTTCGAACTGCTCCAGAATCTCTGTCAAGCAACCACCACCCATGTACTCCATGGCGACCTGGTAGCACAAGAGAACGCAGCTGCGTCAGCTCGGCGACCACCCGGAGGCTCGTGTGGTGAAGGGACAGCGCGCGCATACCCAGAGCTTATCCTCGACTCTGTAGCTGTCGAGGTAGCGGACGACGTTGGGGTGCGTGCTCTCCTTCATGATGTGGATCTCCGAGGTCAGGAGCTTAATGTTTTGGGCGTTGAGCGGCATCTTCTTGATGGCAATCTGCAAAGACACGAAACAGAGAGAATAGAGCACACGGGGGTAGAAGAGACAAGAAGGAGTTTGAGCAAGGGAACAAAGGGACAGCGTGAAAGCGGCGTAACGTACCTGCTCGTTGGTGTTGACGTCGGTGGCAAGGAACACCTCGCCGGCGGCACCCTCGCCAATCTTGGTGGGGTTGAGGTACACCTTGGTGGGATCATCCTTGCTGACCAAGTCGTCTGGAAGAAGGAAGAGGAGAGGGGGCGAGCAAAAAGTGAATTGGCTGCGCCGAAAATGAAAATGAAGGCAAGCGAGATGCCATTGAAGCACAAGAAATCGACTCACGAGGAGGGGGGCACGTACTGAGGGTGATGGTCTGTTCCGGCGGCAGGGCCTCGTTGGAGCACTTGGCCTCTTCCTCAGCCTTCTTGTTTTGGTTGTGGGTGAACTCGAGCACGTCGAGCACAAGGTCGGGATGGGCAAGGACATCCTTCTTGGTGATGTTACCCGTCTTGAGTAGGGCCTCCATCTCTGGGGGCAAGCCCTATTGCACCAAAATCCTTATTTTTTAGCTCTGCATCCCATGAAAAGCCCACCATGGGGAGAATGAGAACACAAAGGATACCTTGTAGCCGGTGTCGGAGTTGAAATCGACATGGACGTGGTGCTTAATGTTGTAGGGCGAGCTCACGCTGGGCGCGGGGCCTGCCGACGATTCGACTGCTGCGCGAGATTGACATGATCGTGAGGATAGAAGGGTTGATGGGTCCCCTTGAAAGCCCAACATTTTCTTCGATCCTTGGCATATTCCGTATAGAAGGGGAAGGCGTACTCTTCTTCCTCCTGAAGGGCCACATGGTGAATTGAATAATCGGCTAATCTAAGGGGGCCAGAGAGACGTTGGTAAGAGAGGATAAGCGGAAGAAGATAACCACCACCCCTCGACTCGCCTTCAACCACCAACCTTGTCACAACAGATTCCAAGTCGTTTGATCACGTCGCCTGGTGTCGTGACTCGACCGATGAAAGTGGATGGGTTCTTCCTTCGCCTCCTTCACGGCAACCGCTTCGGGCTGGCCGTAGTGACCTGTGCCTGCCCGACCAATGGCCGCCCAACCCACACCAAAGTCCACCAGAATTACTGTTGATCCGAGAAACAAAGAAAATGAAAAGGAAACTATTTACAGAATTTATTTATCGTCATCTTTGCCGGAGCAGCAGAGCGAGAGCAAAATGGCGGCGTCATCTGCAGAGGCATTTGGCAACTTCACTTGTTACATCCCCATCCACACCAACTATGCGCAGGTATGCAACTATATGTGATTTTTCCTTCTCCGGCTGAGTTTAATTTCATCTTCAAAATGCTGCTGCTGGGCAGATGGAGAACATCGCCGTGTTCTTGCAGCACATGCCGGGCAAGCTGGTACGCCTCCACAGCACGCAGCCCCATGGACGTGGCTTGCATGGATCAATTGCTCCAATCGCCCGCTGCGGTTTTCTTCTTCTTCCAGTTCGTGTATGAGTGGAACACGGAGAAAGAGAAGATGGTGAACGAGTTTAGCTCCAAGGCTCGCTGGCCCAACGCCGAAGTGTTCGAGTTCGGAGAGGAGGAGGTGTACCAGCAGCTCCTCCGCGATGAGCAGGCCGGGCGTCACGTCGTGGTGGTCCTCACCGCCTCCACCAACTACCCCTTCGCTCGCTCTCAGCTCCGCTTCTTCAGTGCGCACCACTCCACTTTTATTTATTTATTTTTCCAATAATAATGTGTGAACAAATGTTAAATGTTTGCATTTATCGCGTGCAGAGGCCATGCAGGCGCAGTTCCCTTCGACTCTGGTGGACGTCATGCCGCTGGGTCACTGCATGTACGGCTGTGACAGCTGCTCGGTCAGGGAGCACCAGATCCCGCTCTTCTTTACTCGCTTCTTCACCAAGTACGGTCCTTGCTTGGCTCGCACTGCTTCTGCCATTCTTCCGAGGCGCGATCTGCTGACGCGGTGCCGTTCGGCATTGGTGGGTCTGTCTCCCAAGGACTCTTCCCTACACCAAAGACGACCTCTCGGCCAAGTACGGCCTCTCCGCTGCCCGTGAGGCCGGCAAGAAGGTGGTCCTCATTTCTCCCTCGGTCTACGCCAAGAGCTTCCTGACCAACCGCGCCTTCATCGACTCGCTGATCAAACTCCAAGCCAGCGAGGTAGCATTCACCATCCACCAACTTGCACACTATGTGGCGAGCGCCTGCGGCATATATGTGTTTTATGATAATCTATGCTGATCACGGATGTAACCGCCTTGCAGGGAGATAAGTTCCACTTCTTGGTGAAGCTCCACGGCTACTGCTTCTTTACCTACAAGGAGGAGGAGAACGGCGAGGTCACCTCCCACCCGCTCCACTCCCTGTCGGACACGGAGCGGGAGAACATCAAGCTGCTGCAGGACAACTTCAAAACTGCCGACGAGACCGAGTACAACGTGCTGCCCTTCATCGAGGCTGCCGACGCCGTACAGATTCCCATCTTTGTGTGCTCTCCATTCCTCTTTTCCCGCTCCATCTAAAGGCCCGGGGGTTCAACCTACAGGTCCTGACCGACTTGGACTCCAGCGTGGCGTTCGAAGCGCTTTACTTCCCCAACGTTGCCATCCTGGCCTACGACTACCGCCAGCCGGGTGATGAAGACGCTGACGAAGACGAGGTACGCTGCTGAAGTTGGTTCTTGTACGGCGCCTTATTATTATTATCGTCGTCATCACTCACTTGATCTCATCACTGTGTATAACTCCACAACAGGAGAAGAAGGAGTACCACTCGTTCCTCCACCTCTTCAAGGGCGTGGAACAGCTGAGCAGCCTGCTGCACTCGCCCCTGAAGCCCAAGCACGAGGTCAAGGGCAAGCAGTTCTTCGAGAAGAAGTACGGCCAGGTCACCGGCAGGGAGATGGAGAGCATCGCCGAGTCGAGGGGCTGGTTCGTGCCGCACGGCGAAGCCGCCGAGAGCCAGTCGAAGTACGCTCCGCCCACTCCTAGGCGGGACAACGTTCGTCGAGGTTGTGCGCAATTTTTTTCTTTCGGAGAGGCCAACTGGCGTTGGTGTTGTTGTTGCAGGAGCGCCGAGGAGAGGTGGGCTCACGTCCAGAACAAGCTCAAGGAGGAGTTCGACGAGGAGTCGTCCACCCCTCTCGACTACATGGCCCGCGGATGTGAGATCCCGGCCGACGTGCTCGACTTCACGCTCTTCCTGCAGGTACGCGCGGGTCTCGCTTTACTTCGTCAACAACAAACTACGCACGACAAGCGACACGCAGCTGACATCTGTCTCCTTCTGCAGGCGCATCAGCAACAGCTGCAGAGCATGCGCGTGCCCGAGAGCCTGTGGAGGAAGCTGCACAACAAGGTTAGGCCTCGTATATGCTCTGTCTTGACAGCCGTCGCTTGCGAATCACACAGTAGCGACGCCAGCCTCTCGTGATCTGACTCTCCTCGAACTCTTCGTCTGCCTTCCGCTCGCCGCGCAGGTAAAGAACGAGATCTTCGATTCGGGCAACTACTTCCAGTTCGCGATGGACGAAGACGGTAACATGCTCCTGATGCTCAACGACGAGCTCGAGAACGGACTGGCGGCCGGCTCCGATGTCTTCCTGGTGGACCACTTCTGGACCACCACGATCGACAACTCGCGAAACCAGGTACGCGCATCCCACCTTATCAGAGCTGATGAAAGAAACATTCTTTTATTTCGTGCGGTGCCTAACATGTGCGGGTGGTGGTGGTCAGCTGAGGACGGTGCCCAATCTGTTGGGCCGCATGAGCGCCATTCTGGGCATCAACCCCGAGGAGGCGGGTGACAAGGAAGCGCTGGTCGAAGAGGTGTGGAAGAATATGTGGAAGTTCAACCAGACCTACCGCGTGCGCCTCGACGACGTCGACAAGGAGGGCACTCCCGTTTGGTGTACGCCTCCCCACCCACGCGACACGACACACGACACACGCGATCACTCAAGCTTCTTCTCACAATGTGCGTGTCTTCTACTCCCTGCGCAGACATGATGGACGAGGTGGGATCGCGTATCACCCACTGCGACACACCCCAAGAAGAGGATAAGAAGACCGACAAGGAGGAAGAGGCCCAAGAAAAGAAGGAGGGCGAAGACGAAGAGGAGGAAGAGGAAGAAGAGGAGGAGCCGGCTCGTCCCAACGCCAGGTGCATTCCGTTCTTCTACAACGCCCGCGGCGTTTCGTACTCCATCCTCTGGCCCGTGGTGGACCTCGAGCCGGGCGACATCATCACCCGCGACTTCCTGGAGGGCGTCAAGGGCGACCTCCAGCGAGCGGCCAGAGGAGTCGCGTTCGGCATCGACGAAGGCGAGGAGTACGCCGAGCTGTTCCGGGAGGCCCTGCAGCGTCACCAGAAGAACATCGCGTCGGTGGTCCCGCCCACGCGTCCTGCGCCGCAGCAGGTCTCCGCCCAATCGACCCCGAGGTAGCGCCTAGGCCCACCCGCACATGCCTGTGCCCTACGTTGTCTAGGTTGTGCTCTGTGTAGCCGGTCGTCTCATTCTTCTTCGTTACCACCAGCACGCACCTCAAGGTGTTCTCCGACACCCAATTCCTGAAGAAGGCGCTCACGTGGGACCGCTTCTCCGTTGTTGAGGAGGTCAAGGTGCGGCAGCGGCCCCCTCGCCGGTGACAGCTAAGCAGGGAAGTGATGCCCAACTGACCGACCAACCGACTAACACTTTTGGTGGTGCATGGATGCAGGACGCCGATGTGCTGTGGTTCAGTGACGACGTGGGCAACATTCAGGACCTTCTCAGCAATGAGAAGCAGCTGGTGAACCAGTACCCGAACGAGATGTGCGTCACGTACAAGCATAAGCTGGTTGAGACGATCCTCAGGTGCTGGGGCGAGACCTGCGACTGGCTGCCCGCCACGTACAACCTCAACACCCAGCTGCCCCAGTTCATCGCGCACTGGCGGGAGGCCGAGGGGAAGAAGAACGAAGGCGACGCAGACGCGCAGAAGGCGGATAACCTCTGGATCGTCAAGCCCTGGAACAAGAGCCGAGGCCTGGAGATCTTCGTCACCGACAGCCTGGCCCCCATCATCAGGTCTTGCCTCGCCCCAGTCCGCTCTTTCCTGCGATGATCATGCTCTCACCGGCCTGGTGCTTGGGTGACACGCGCGTTTGTAGGTCGATCGAGACCGGTCCCAAGATCGCTAGCCAGTACCTCAGCCGGCCGGCCCTCTACAAGGGCCGCAAGTTTGACCTCAGGTACATCATCATGGTCCGCTCGCTGCAGCCGCTGGAGATGTACGTCTACCGCATGTTCTGGATCCGCGCCGCCAACAAGCCCTTCTCGCTCGACCACCTTGACGACTACGAGAAGCACTTCACGGTTCATTTCACCTTCACATGCCTTTGATGATGATGACGACGATTCCAAATGAAACTGACATCGGCTCACACGGCCCACGTGTTGATCAGGTGATGAACTACTCGACGTACAACCTGGAGCAAATCCTGTACACTGACTTCATCAAGACGTTCGAGGCCGAGCACCCGTCCGTGCAGTGGGAGCGCGACGTGCAGTCGAAGATCAACCAGATGTTCCGCGACGTGTTCGTCGCTGCCACGCAGGCCTCGACGGAGAAGTGGAGCGGCCTCCTAGCACCGCTCAACGACGCTGCGGACAAAAGCAGGGACCTGCGCCAGCAGTGCCGTGGCATGTACGGCGCCGACCTCATGATCGACGAGCACATGAACCCGGTGCTGCTCGAGATGAACTTCTCGCCCGACTGCAAGCGCGCGGTCAACTACGATCCGGACTTCTTCAACGTCGTCTTCACCTCGCTCTTCACCGACGACTGGAAGGACGACACCACACGCAAAGAGCTCGTCATGAGCAAGATCGCCCTCATCTAGAGAGAATTACGACCAGGTCAAAAAAGCCGCGTGTTCGGAACACCATCAAATGGATAGGAAACTTTGATGACTTTCGTGTGAAAAGAAGTCATCCAACTACAATCGACCTTTGATTTCTTTGTTGTGGCTAAAAACGCCAAAGCGAGATTGTCGAATCGAGATCGAAGAAGAGCCATACACAAAATCATGTCGAGGGACCCTGCTGTTGCTGCCGCTTCGTTCGGATTTGTGAACCACCGCTGCGCCAAGGACGTGAAGGCCTTCCAGGAGCAGAAGGGTTCTTCCGAGGCCGTGAAGGCCTGCTTCGCCAAGGAGACCAAGACGCTCACCTCCACCTGCGGCAAGGAGGTCCACGCCTTTGCCGAGTGCCTCGCCGACCCTGAGAGCGGCTCGTGCTCGCGCCCCGAATGGGATCTCCGCGTCTGCGTGCGGTCCAACTTCGGCTTCGATTCCGCCCTCGAGCAGAAGAAGCAGGCCGCCAGGCTTAGCAAGTCCACCGTCCCCACCGAGCTTGCCGACTCCGAGAAGCTTGAGACTGCTGCCTCTCGCTGGAAGTGAAAAGGTCGCTCCATTTCGCCCCATTCATAACCATAAATTGAGCTTCAAAAATCTCGAATCCCCCCCCCCAATCACTCTCCATGCGATACATGCTGGGCCTCTTTGTTACAGCGTTTACGGCGTAGAGTGCAAGGAGCCAGGGCCACTGCAATGTTAATCAATTAATTGGCCGATAAGTCAAAGCAATAAATAATCGGCCAAACCACGGCAACGAAAGTAAACGCAAGAGCAAATGGGCAACGCATCGCCAGGAGGAAAACAGCAAAAGGGGGAGGGTGGGCACTTGCCAGACTGCGTCGCAGGCACGGGATGGAGCGAAGAGGATGCATCCCTATTCGAGCGCCTCCTGTCGCACTGGCAGGTGGGCGAGGGTGAGCTCCAGCCCGCCGACGACGTGCCCTCCCTCACCGTGGCGGGCCGCACCAAGTTCGAGGACCAGGTCTCCGTCGTGCGTTGGCGCGGCGACCTCCTCGTGCTCAAACGTTGCCAGCCTCCCTCCGCGCTCTACCAGGAACTCGCCGTCTGGTTCCGCCTACGACCACACACGTATGCCCGGCCTCACTCTTTGTCGCGCACAAGGAGGCCCATCATGCGTGTGTTGTGTGCGGTGGTAGTCGCGTGGTGGGGTTCAGAGGCGTGGTGCCGGGGAGCGCGGCGGTGCTGACAGACTACATGCCGCTGGGCACGCTGGAGACGTTCGTGCTGTCGCCCGATGCGCCGCCGCCCGGCAGCCCGGCCTGGCTCCGGCAGGGCGTGTCGCTGCTCCTCGACGTGGCCCGCGCCATGGCGCATCTCCACGCCGAGGGCTTCGTCTGGCGCGATTGTGCAGCACGCAACGTGCTTCTGTGCCACGAAGGCGGCCACGATCGCCTGCTGCGAGGCAAGTACGTAATCTGTGAGTGGGCCGTGCGCGGTAGTGGCGGTCGTCGGTGGCGGTGACGAGCTCTGTGTGTGCTCACACCCGCCCGATCTCCCCTGGACAGGATCACCGACTTTGGGTTCGCGCGACGGATGGACGCTGACGGGCGGGTCGTCGTGCCCGCACAGACCCGCAACCTGCCCATCCGAATCGGCGCACCCGAGTCCCTCGCCTCCGACGACGCCGAGTACTCCGCCAAGGTACACCGCGTCCACTACACCGCGTCCATCTACACCACTTGTGCGTGGTTGTTTTGGCCTGACTGTGGTTGGCCTGTGGCGGTGGCCCGTCCCAGTCCGACGTGTGGTCCTTTGGCGTGTTGATCTACAGCCTGTTCGCTCGCAAACGTACGTTTGAGCTCTTCGGCACTCGTGTGAATATGGGGCTGACCTGGTGTCATGAACGAACACCTCGGTCGTCCGTAGGACCCTACGGCGACCTCGCGCCGGCTGAAGTGGTCCAGGGCGTGATCGCCGGCTCGCTCTCCCTAAACGCTGACGACCTGGTACTGCACACGTCTCCGCCGGCCGACAGCGGGAAGAAGACCGACAAAAAGACTACTTCGGCACCGACAAAAGAGAAGAAGAAAAAGATGGACAGGAAGCGAGCGAGTGGGTTGCGATCGACGTTCGAGGCCTGTCAACGACGTCGACCACAAGACCGACCAACCATGACAGACGTCATCCTCGCCCTCTCCCATCATCATCACCAGCTTGCCTCCCCTCCCTCGCCGCAACAAGGGTAGTAGCCTCTCCCTTTCCGTCGTTGGCGTCGACAGAAAACCTCTTCGCAAAGGAGGTGGTCCAGACCACACCCCGTGGCTCATTTTGACACATCGTCGAAAGATTGACAATCGATCGACTGCCCGAGCAGAGCGTACACTCGCCCTCTTGCTCTCTTCTCTTGTTCCCTCCACTCCGCCCGACGCCTCGAGACACAGACTCACTCACCCCTTAGCAACGAACGGAGAAGAAGAGGTGGAGTGGCTGCGCAACAAGATGGGGGGCTGCAAGTCGATACCCCAGGGTCCCGGCGACCGTCCACGAAGCAAGAGCAAGCGCCGCGGTAGCAGCAATGCTGGGAACAGCAACGGCGACAGCGGAGACAGCATCTCACCCGCCTCCACCTCAGATCACAACAACAACCACAACAACAATGGCAGCAGGATCAAGGAGGGATCGCTGAAGAAGCAACACGGGGCGGGCGCTGGTGAAGACGGAGGAGGCGGAGGGGGCGAGGCTTCGGGAAAGGGCTCGCGTAGGGCGACGACCACCGGCGCGGGAAAAGGGTCGGGGCGGAAGGGGACCACCGAGCTCGAGGAGGAGAAGAAGGCCATCTCGGACAACGTGCGTGGCGGCCAGTTCCTCGACTACTACTTCGTCGGCCCTGAGATCGGAAGGTAACCCCCCTCCCTCTATCTTTTTTTTGTGTAGAAGGTGCCACCCTCTCTACTTGGCGTTTACGTTGTGGTCCACGTCAACAGGGGCGGGTATTCGACGGTGTACGAGGTGACATCGAAGGCCACCAACGAACGATGTGCGGTGAAGTGCATCGAAAAGAGGATTCTGGAGAAGGGACGCAACATCAAACTCCTCAGGAGGTACTCTACATGTTTGCCGTTGTTGTTGGTGGAGGTTGTGGTGGTTCTTGTTAACAGCAGCAATGGCCCATGGTGACGCGGTGCAGGGAGATAGACAACATGTTGCACGTGGACCACCCCAACGTGTTGAAGCTGATGGAGATATTCGAAGGACGACAAGTGGTTCTACATGGTGATGGAGTACATGCAAGGCGGCGAGCTCTTCGAGAAGATCGTGCAGCGCGGCCGCTACTCCGAACGCGACGCCGCGCAGATCTTCAAACAGATCGTATCCGGCGTGCAGTACCTCCACGACAAGGGCATCGCCCATCGGTACTTCATCACCACACGCGCACACGCACGCATACACCATACGCACACACTAACGCTCACGACGCACAGAGATCTGAAACCCGAGAATGTGCTGTCGGCGGACAACGGCGACGGCGATGAGAAGATCAAGATCGCCGACTTTGGGTTCTCGAAGGCGTTCGACGAGAGCACCCTCCGCACCAGCTGCGGGTCGCCCAACTACGTCGGTAACCCACAACCACCCTTCTCTTCCCCCAGCCCCTGGCCCACCGGCGTTCGTTCGTTCGTGGCATTGATCGCTGATGGCCACGGCTTCCCACACAGCACCTGAAATTTTGACGGAGGACCACTACGACAAGAGCGTGGACATCTGGAGTCTTGGGGTCATCCTGTACATACTGTACGACATTTCTATGAACCACATGTGAGTGTATACATTCCTATATCTATAGAGGAGACAGCTTGGAGGAATGTGGAGGGCTGATGGACAGATTCTGGGGTGGGGCAGACTCTGTGGGTATCCGCCCTTCTACGCCAAGACCAACCCGGAGCTGTTCAAGAAGATTATGGCCTGCCGGTACGACTTTGACGACAAGAGGTGGCTCACCATCTCCGAATCCGGTGCGGCTTCCCCCCTTCCCTCACCAACCCTTTTGTCGTCACCTCACACGATTGATGGACATCGGGGCGGACGCATACACAGCCAAGGACCTCATCGGCAAGCTGCTGGTGCGGGACCCGGAGCAACGCCCCGCGGCGCAGCAGATTTTGATGCACCCCTGGATCACCACCGCCGAACTGATGGACGGCCTCGAGAGCTCCAGCATCGATCTTGGTAACCGCCCCCGATCGCATGCCATCTTCATTTGTGGGGGACTCACCGTTTGGTGTTTGCAGTGAAACTGGCTGAGTACAACGTCAAGAGGAAGGAGGAAAAGGCCGAGCTGGTGAACGTTCTATCCGCTCCAATTTGACGCGACAGCTACCACGACCTCTCCTCTGTATCGTACTCCTTGCTTGTATCGACCTTTTCTCCTCTTGTGAGACCCTCCCCCCCACACAACGTGGAGTTGTTTTGTTTTGTTTTGTTTTTTGTACAGCTCTACAAACGCTAGCTTCGTTCTGCTTCACCACCCGCCTCTTCTCTTTCTTTTCCTCTCCTTCTTCGCTGTCTATCGTTGAATAAATAGGGTGTAGTGGTAGATCGTGTCCTGTTGTTGTTGGGGTTGTTGTGTGGCCGTGTGCCGCCGCCTCGTTTAGTCGTCCTTGCGCAGGAGCTTGACTGGCAGCTTGATCTTGACCTTGGTCGATCCGGCGGTCGAGGTCACGCGCGGCACCGACGACGAATGCACTGGCGACGAGGGCGACGAACTGAAGTGGAACGACGCCGAGGGCGAGGCCGGCACCGACGATGAGGGCGTGGTCGACCGCGGCGTGCCCGACCGCGAGCTCGTCTTCGATGACGGACGCGACGAGCGACCGCCCGATGACGATGACGCCGAGGCTGACGATGATGACTTGGGCGTGTAGGGGGTCGACGCCGAGGCCGAGGCCTTGTGGCCGCTGGCGCCGCCGCCGCTCGATCGCGAGCGAGACGGGGCGGGCGCAGGGGTGGCGGGCGCGGGCGTGTCGTCGCCCTCGCCCTCGCCCTGCGCGCCGATGAGGGCCTCGAGCTCCTGGATCTCGGTCTCGTTCTCGCGCAGGGCCTCGATGCAGATCTTCACGAGGGTGTCCGCCAGGGGCGGGAGCTGCGGGAACCGCGTGTCGCAGTACTTGTGGCAGTTGGACGCCATCAGCTTCATGTCCGCCATGAGCGCATTCTGAAAGAAAAAGGAAATCCGACATCATGTCAGCTCCTCTTTCGTTGTGTGTGTGTGTGTGTGTGTGTGTGTGTGTGTGTGTGTGTGTGTGTGTGTGTGTGTGTGTTGTGTGGTCGCACCTGTGATAAATATTTGAAGGTCTTGACGTTGTTGTGGATGGTGCCGAGGTCGATGGGCTTCTTGATGTACTTGTGGTAGTCGGGCGCCTCCTTGGTGGTGACGGGCCGCAGGAAGGGCGGCGCGTACTCGTGGCTCTTGACGCGCAGCATGGCCTTCTCGAATATGGCCGCCAGCTGCACGCCCGCCCCGCGGCCGGTCTTCCGACTTCGCACGCGGGGCAGCTTGGGCGGGTTGAGCATGTAGTTGGGCTCCGACAGCTCCGACACCGGCCGCTTGCGCGTGAGCGCGCCCGGCGGCAGGTCCTTCTTGCTGATCCGCAGAATGAGCTTCTTCTCGCCGCCGGGCGTCGCTGGCGACTCGGTCGGTGTCGTGGCGACGTGACCGCCGCTGGTGGGCGTGACGGGCGTGGTGGCCGCGCTTCTGCTGGGTGCCGGCGGTGCCGTCGGGCTGGGGGTCGTCGCAGCAGAAGAGGGGGCGGCGGGGGCGGGGGTGCGCGGCGTGGTGGGCTCGAGCTTGGGTCGCTTCGAGGGTCGCCTGCTACTGCCGCCGGGCGCGGGTGCGGCGGGCTCGATGGTCGTGGGCGGCGCAGCGGACGGCGGGGAGACCACGTCGACGACCGAGATGGGCGAGGCCGGGATGGAGGTGGTCGGGGTGCTGCCGGCCGTCGGGGTGACGGCGGCGAGGACCACCTTGGGGAAGCGCAGCTTGGTGCCCTCGACCTTGACCAGCGGCGCGACCTTGGCCGCGAGCTCGGCCTCCTCCTCGGCCAGGAGCTCGTCGAGCAGCAGTGGTTCGTCGAGGTCGTCGTCGAGCAGGAGGTCCTCGTCGTCGAGATCAAAGTCGAGCTCGTCCTCATCGTCGTCGTCCTCGTCGTAGTCGACGTTGCGGCGCCGGCGCTTGCCCTTGCGCGGGCCACCACCGGTGCCCTTGGCCGTCGCTCCGGCACCGGCCGCCTGGTCCTCGGTGTAGTAGGGGCAGTTGCGGTTGGTGCGCATGTGGCCCACCATGCCGCAGGCGCCGCACACGAGCTGGTTGTTGGTGCCCTCGGTCTGCGAGAGGGTACCGTCGCGGTTGCCCTCGGCCAGGCGCTCGGCCAGGATGCGCTGCTTCTCGCGGTTCTTCTTCAGCCGCCGCAGCTGCTCCTGCAGCCGCCGCTTCTCCTTGCGCACGCGCTGCTTCTCGGCCTCCTCCTCGGCCGTGAGCTTGGGCCGGTTCTTCTTGGCCGCCTTCGACTTCTTCATGTACTCCTCGACCTTCTTCGGGTCGCGAATGATCTCCACCACCTTGATCGGCTGCCCGTCCGGCCCCTTCTTCGTCACCGTCCGCTTGATGAACTTGCGCGTCGGCTTCTTGAGCTCTCCGCCACCACCGGCGCCGGCGCCCTCCGACGCCGACGGCCCTCGCGGCGAGCCGCCCGGCACGCCGCCCTCCGACGCCGACGGGAAGCCGTCCAGCGACGAGTCGCTAAAGGGCGAGAACGGCTCCCTCTTGCTTTCGGCGGCGGCCGTGACGGGTGCGAGCGACACGGGCGTGACCGGCCTGGCCACGGCGGCAGCGGCAGGTCGCACGGGCGTGGCCGCGGCCTGGGCGGCCAGGGCCTCCTCACGCTTCTTCTCGCGGGCCTCCTCCATGAACTTCTGCAGCTCGCGCCGCTCGGCCTCCTCCTCATCGGCCTCCTGCTGGGCCAGCGTCCGCTTGCGGCCCAGCGCGCGCGGTCCGCCACCGGCGCCAACCGATGGCCGCGCGCCGCGCGCGGGCTTGGGCGGCGGCAGCTCGGGCGCCTCCGAGTTGGAGTCGTCGCCGCCGAACAGGGCCTCGAGCTCGCGCTCCATCTCGCCGGCAAAGTCCTGCAGTTCGATGTTGTCCTGCAGGTCCTCCTCGTCGTCGGAGATGTCGTCGGGGTTGAGCTCGGACAGGAAGGCCAGCTGCTTCTCGAAGATGCGGGCGCACTCGTCCTTGTAGACCTGCTGCTGCTGCTGGAAGTTGAACCGCCGGCCACGGGCGAACTTGGTCAGGTTGGGGTCGTCTCCGCCCGCGGCGGCGGCGCTCGACTTCTCGCGCACGAGGTCGATCCGCTCCCACCGCCCGAGCTTCTCAATGACGTCTTCCGACACGCCGAACTTGAGCAGCACCAGACGCGCGTTCTCCAGCGACAGCTTTCGCAGATCGGCGTCCGTGCCAGTCACCGACGTCTTCGGTACTTGCGCCTGCGTTGGAGTTAGTATGTGTCGTGTTGTGTGTGATGTGTGTGCGCGCACCTTTTTCTGCTGGGCTTGCACTTTTTGAGGGACGCGCAGGTAGCTGAATCCGGCGCCGGTGCCGGTCGGGTCGCCGAAGCCGGTGAGCTGCAGCTGTCCCTTGCCGTTCTGCACGCTGAGGAAGTTGCCGGTGGTGTTCCACGGGGCCAGGTAGACCTCCTCCTTCACGAACGCCGCGGCGGCCTTGTGCTTCTTGCCGCTCTCCGCCTCGAGCTGGGCCACGGCCTGCGACAGCCCAGTGGCGTTGTGCGTGTGCTCGATGCCGCAGTCCTGCAGGCGCTGGTGGCCGGCCAGCATGCTCTCGTAGGCGCACACGGTCTCGGGGGTGAGCATCGCGCGCAGGTCCTCCTCGCTGGGCATCTCAAAGTCCTTCTTGAGGGTCCACCACCCGCTGTCGTCGCCGCCGCGCTGGAAGTCGGAGCAGTCCTTGAGCCGCTTGCGAATCGAGGTCTCCGAGTGCGACGGGAACGCGCTGCAGATGTCCGAGATGCGGACGCGCTGCTGGTTGGCCCGCTTCTTGAAGAGGCGATAGATGAAGGTCTGCAGGCGGGCCTTGATGAAGTTGTTGGCCGACCGCGAGTTGGGCGCCGGGACCTCGGCCACGGGCTGCTCCTGGCCCACGGCGTAGACCGCCGGGATCTCGCGGATGTAGAACTTGTTCTTGGACCGCACCAGCAAAAAGTCGGTCGTGGGCGCGTTGTGCTTGACGATGGGCGCGCGGAACAGGTTGTTGTCCATCATCTGCACCGTGTCGCCCGTGGGCACTTCCCCGAGGAACGGACACTCGTCCGCCTAGTGTGTGTGTGTGTGTGTAAGGAAAAGAAGAACAAGAAAGTGAGCACACACCCATGTGGCGGCATGCATGAAGAGGCGTCTGCAGAGCTGACCGCCGGTCACGCACCTGATCCAGGAGCACCATGTCACCATCCTCTCTCGTCTTATCTGGCGGAATATCGTTGACATCCTTCTTTCTGTTACGGTGATTATTTTGTATTAAAAGTAAGAGTGTGAGTGGCAAAGCGTTCAGGGGATTTCAATGCTTGTGTGGTGTGTCGAGGGGGCTGCATACCGATAGTAATTCAAAATCTTTGTGCCCATGCCTACGTTGCTGAGCACCGGTGGGCGTTCCTCCAGATACTCGGCAAGAACCACCCGCCCGTCCTTGCCTGCATTTTGCACCCACGACCCTCGTGTTAGCGCACGCACCACACACACCCACGCACACCACACACACACACACACACCACACACACCACACAAGCGGAGCGATTAGACGTACCAGATAGTTCTCGCTTCCTTCGAATGGTGCCGCTTTGTTTCTTGAATCGCGGGTTGGTGCGGGAGCCTTCGATGGGCGCCGGTGTGACCTTGATCTTCTTGGAGGTGGGCAGCCTGGTCCGTGGTCGGTGGAACAATCGCAGGTCCTCGGGCGCGAAGTTGGTCTTGAAGCTCGACAGCTTGAGCGCCGGGATCGAATGCTGCACCACCGGTTTGCCCATATTCTTGGGGCGAATCTGTTGAAAGAATCCACGCCACACCGGTGTCAGCCAACCACTTCACACCACACACACACAACACACGCACACACACACACCACACACACACACACACACACCACAAGCGAAAACGCACCTTGGCGAGAGCGCGGCTGGCGTTGGCATAGATGCGGTCGAGGGAGTAGTTGAAGGGGTCGAGATCCTCTTCGACCTCGTCCTCGATGATGCTGGCGATCTCGCTGATCTTCCGCTTGGGCCGTCGGCCTCTCCGCCGCTCGACCTTCTTCACGCCCTCCTCCTCGGCTCCGATCATCTGCTCCTCGTCCTCCAGCGGCTTCTTGACATTCTCCTCAAACAGCATCTCCTTGTCGTTCAGGTCGAAGATGAGCGGATTATTTACAGCTGCCGGCGGCACCTTGCGGTCGTCCCAGATCACCGCGTCCAGCCAGTCGCCGCTGTCGTTATTGCGCGCATACAAAAAGTGGTCAGCAAACGTCTGCCCATTCTCAAGGGCGTCTGCACAGTGAAGTGGGGTGTGTGGGCGTACCTGGCCAGGTCTTCGTTGACGGCGGGGAAGAGCGACCACTCGCGCGGCTCGACGATGGGTTCGGCCTCGAGCTGCTCCAGCACCTCGCTGGTGGCGGTCGAGCTCTCCGCCGGCGCGGCGGCGGGCTTGGCGCTTTGGTCGACGGCGCCCCACTGGCCGGCCTTTGCAGCGGGCAAAGGTGGCGAGACCGCGACGGCGGCCTTGGTCCCCACCAGCTCGCTCTCCGACACCGACGCCCGCAGGACCACCACCGACTGCTGCGGCACCGGCTCGGTCAGCTGGGCCTTGGCGGCGCCTGGTGCTGGTGCTGTCCTCGTCCCAGATGATCTCGTCCTCCCACGGCCACGTCTGCACGGCTTCGTGGACGGG